ATCCCAACACTTCAAGCAGGATCTCTTGAGGCCAGGAGTGATGCCAGCCTGGGCAAAACAGTGAGATCCTGTTTCTATTTAATATATGATTATGTCTTTCAGGATTATGATCCAGACCTCTATGGATAGTCCATATAGGAAGGAACTACAGCCTCCTGCCAAAAGGCCACACCAACATGCCAGGAGATCCTCTAGCCCCAGTCAAGCCTTCAGATGACTACAGTCTTTTTTTTTTTTAATTATTTTTTTATATTTTAGGAAGGGAGGAAGGGAGGAAGGCAGAAAGGGAGGGAGGAAGGAAGGGAGGGAGGGAGGGAGGGAGAGAAGGGAAGGAAGGAAATCAAGCAATGAGAGAGACATTGCTGACCTGGATCTAGAGGTCTACAAGTTGATTTCTTTTTTTTCTTTTTTTTTGAGAGAAGGAAAGAAAAAAAAGGAGTGAAGGAGAGGAAGAAAGAGGAAGAAAAAGAGGGAGAGAAAAAGGAAATGTTGCTTTATTCTAAAAAAAAAAATGGCTATTAATAACGGCCAATCAATGTTTCATTTAAACCTATGAGTAGGTGTGATGTGGTATTGACAAGAATGTATATTTTGTGTATTTAAAGTGGAGAGCTCTATAAATATTTATTAAGTTTATTTGTTCCGGATCTGAGTTCGAGTCCTTGATATCCTTATTAATTTTCTGTCTCATTGAGTCTAAGTCTCTATGTATCTGGGTGTTAGGATCGTTAGCTCTTGTTGTTGCATTGATCCTTTTACCACTATATCTTTGTTGCTTTAAAATCTATTTCATCAGATACGAGAATTGCAACTCCTGCTTTTTATTTATTTATTTATTTTTGCTCTCCATTTGGTTGGTAAATCTTTCTCCATCCATTTGTTTTGAGTCTTTGTGTATCCTTGCATGTGAAATGGGTCTGGATGTAACATGCCGTTGGGTTTTGGCTGTATCTTTTGATTGGGGGATTTAGTTGATTTAAATTTATGATTACTGCCATTTGATGTTAACTGGCTGTTTTATCTATTTGTTGATGTAAATTCTTCTTTATGTTGATGCTCTTTACTTTTTGGTATATTTTTAGAAAGGCTAATACTGGCTGTTTCTTTCTATGTGTAATGCTTCTTTCAGAAGCTCTTGTAAAGCAGGCCTGGTGGTAATAAAATCTCTGAGTACTTGCTTATTCATAAAATTTTATTTTTCCTTCAGTTCTGAAGCTTAGTTTGGCTGGATATGAAATTCTGGGCTGAGAGTTCTGTTCTTTGAGGATGTTGAATATTGGCCCCCACTCTCTTCTGGCTTGTAGAGTTTCTGCTGAGAGATCTGCTGTAAGTCCAATAGGCTTCCCTTTGTGGGTAACCTGACCTTTCTCTCTGGCTGCCGTTAGTATATTCTCCTTCTTTTCAACCCTGGTGAATCTAACGATTATGTGCCTTGGAGTTGCTCTTCTTGAGGAATATCTTTGTGGTGTTCTCTATATTACCTGGGGTTGAATATTGTCCTGCTTTGCTAGTTTAGGAAAATTTTCCTGAATAATATCCTGAAGAGTATTTTCCAGCTTGGATTCATTCTCTCTGTCACATTCAGGTACACCTATCAAACGTAAATTTGGTCTTTTCACATAGTTCCACATTTCTTGGAGACTTTGCTCATTCCTTTTTATCCTTTTTTTCTCTAATCTTATCTTCTCGTTTTATTTCATTAAGTTGGACTTCGACCTCTGATATTCTTTCTTCTGCTTGAACAATTCGAGTGTTTAAACCTGTGCATACTTCTCAGAGTTCCTGCATTGTATTCTTCAGTTCCATTAATTCACTTATATTCCTCTCTAAGTTGTCTATTCTCATTAGGATTTTGTCAAAGCTTTTTTCAAAGTTCTTAGTTTCTTTACATCGGGCTACAACATGTTCTTTTAACTCACAGAAGTTTCTTATGATCCATCTTCTGAAGCCTGATTCTGTTAATGGGATGTGCTCCTTCTCCATCAAGTCTTGTTCCCTTATTGATGAGGAACTGTGATCCTCTTTAGAGGGAGAGGCGTTCTGATTTTGAGTATTCTCAGCCTTTTTACGCTGGTTTCTTCCCATCATTGTAAATTTATCCACCTGTCGTCTTTGTAATTACCAACTTTGAAATTAGGTCTCTGAGTGGACGTCCAAGTTGTTAATTCCCAGGGCCAAAATATGAGCAAACCACTGTGCCAGCCAAAACAGCAGCGTTAAGACTGATGGTGCTTTTCTGCCTGGGAAACTCCAGTCTAGATTCCTTCTTGAGTCCGTAATAGGCGACTCTGCCTTCCGGAGCTCCAAATCTCGGTCAGAAGGGGAAACAGTCCCGTTTACTCTGCACCAAGAGCTGCCACACCAAGGTGCCGGCACAACCGCTGCGCTGGCCACAAGAGTCGCGCTGGAGACCCGTGTGGCTCCTCCAAACCTCAGTCAGAAGGGGAACCAGTCCTGTTTACTCTGCACCGAGAGCTGCCGCGCCGAGGTGCCGGCCAGCGAAACCGCTGCGCCAGCCACAAGAGTCGCGCTGGCGACCCATGGAGCTCCTCCACTGAGAATCTTCTGCTCTGTGAGCGACCAAAATTTGTCTAAAAGTGTGGTGTCCTCTCGTTCTCTGAGCTTTCACTGGGAGCTGCAATCCCGAGATGTTAGCAATCAGCCATCTTGGATCGTTCTCCAGATGACTACAGTCTTAACCAACATTTAAACTGCACCCTGGCCAGGTGTGGTGGCTCACACTTGTAATCCCAGAACTTTGGGAGGACGAGGTAGCCAGCTCACCTGAGCTCAGGAGTTTGAGACCACCCTGGCCAATGTGATGAAACCCTCTCTCTACTAAAAATATAAAAATTAGTCAGGTATGGTAGTGCGTGCCTTTAATTCCAGCTACTCAGGAAGCTGAGGCATGAGAATCATTTGCAACTGAAAGGCAGAGGTTGCGGTGAGCCAAGATGGCACTACTGCACTTGAGCCTGGGTGACAGATTGAGACTGTCTGAAATGAATTAATTAATTAAAAATAAACTGCAACCTCTTGAGAGACCTCAGGTTAGAACTGCCAAACTAAGCCATTCCTTAAATCCCTGACCCACAGAAATCACAAGGTGACATTTGTTACTTTTTTAGTACCCTTAATTTGGGGGATAATTTGTTATACAGAAAAATATACAAAGGTAAGAGAGCCATTCAAAGGTCAAGATAAGAACATGAAACTTGCCAGGGGCGTGGTGGCTCGTGCCTGTAATCCCAGCCCTTTGGAAGGCCAAGGCAGGCAGACTGCCTGAGCTCAGGAGCTCTTGACCAGCCCAGGCAACATGGTGAAACCTTGTCTCTATTAAAAAAAAAAAGAAAGAATATGAAACTTTCATTAATATGGTTTCAGATTCCACAGTGCATCTAACCTTAAAGAAAGTAATACTTGTCAAGTTTTCATGTAGTATCAAAGCATATCAACAATTACCTGTCCGGGTGCAGTGGCACATGCCTGTAACCCCAGCACTTTGAGAAGCCAAGGCAGGCGGACAACTTGAGGTCAGGAGTTCAAGACAAGTCTGGCCAACATGGTGAAACCCTGTCTCTACTAAAAATACAAAAATTAGCAGGGCCTGGTGGTGGGCACCTTTAATTCCAGCTACTTGGTAGGCTGAGGCAGGAGAATCACTTGAACCCAGGAGGTGGAGGTTGCAGTGAGCCAAGATCATACCATTGCACTCCATCCTGGGCAACAGAGCAAGACTCTGTCTCAAAAATAAATTAATTAATTAAATAAATGGTGATATTAAAGACACAAATATTAATAACTAGATAATAAAGAAAGTCTCAAAAAATTTCAAAGAAGTTATGGCATACTAACTATGGTCTCTGTTCAAAGCAATTAAATAACGTATCAACTAGAGCCTCAAACTTCTGGGCTCAAGCAATTCTCTTGCCTCAGCCTTCTAAATACCTGAGACTATAGGTGCTTGCCACCACACCTAGCAAAAGATAGATACATTTTTAAAGTTCTATATATGTTTAGAAATTGTAAAAGAAGGCTGGGCACAGTGGCTCACACCTGTAATCCCAACAGTTTGGGAGGCTGAGGCGGGCAGATCATAAGGTCAAGAGTTTTAGACCATCCTGGCCAACATAGTGAAACCCCGTCTCTGCTAAAAATACAAAAAAAATAGCTAGGCATGGTGACTGGCACCTGTAATACCATTTACTTGGGAGGCTGAGGCAGGAGAATCACTTGAACCTGGGAGGTGGAGGTTGGATGAACTGAGATCGCACCATTGCACTGCAGCCTGGGTTACAAGCACAAAACTGTCTCAAAAAAAAAAAAGATTAAAAATTAATGAAATAAGACTAAAATTAGATCAAGAAGAAAAGAGAAGACATAAATATTAGAAACGGAAAAGAAAGACACCACTACATATCCAGCAGAGATTAAAAGATAATGAGAAAAAGGTATGAACAACTTTATTCAACAAATTTGAAAGCACAGACAAAACGAATCCTGATAAATTGGCTGGGCGTGGCATAATCTTAGAAAATAAGAGGAGTGTAAGTTTTCTAATGCTATTTATATAGCCCAAATCATATCTTTCTTTTATTTACTTATTTTTATTTTATTTTTTTGAGATGGAGTCTTGCCCTTGTTCTCCAGGCTGGAGTGCAATGGTGCAATCTCAGCTCACCGCAACCTCCCCCGTCCAGGTTCAAGTGATTCTCCTGCATCAGCCTCCTGAGTAGCTGGAATCACAGGCACGTACCACCACAGCTGGTTGATTTTACATTTTTAATAGAGACAGGGTTTCACCATGTTGGCCAGGCTGGTCTCGAACTCCTGAACTCAAGTGATCCACCCGCCATGACCTCCCAAAGTGCTGAGACTACAGGTGCCAGCCAAGGCTACCCACCAACTCCATGCAATTGTAACAGTTACTAAATATTGTCATTCCATCATGTGGGGTGGGGGTAAATAAAGATACACCTTAGCAAAAACAATACAGACAATTCAGGAAACACTTTCCAGTTTAATTACATCAAAGCTATATCCAAAATAAAAATAACAGAAACAAAGATTGCTTATAACTCCAGAACAGTTTAATTCTAAAGAGCTTTAATAAACAAAAAGCCCCATAGTTTCCAAATGTTCATCAAAAAGAGAATATCAGTCCCATCCATACGGGGGAAAATCAAAGGAAAAAAAAGGAGAGGGTGAGAGATGAATGAAGGTTGACAACTATTCTCCTTTATAAAGAGAAAACACTGCTTCCTCAATGTCACTTAAGGATAGGAACAGGCAGGAAGAAAGTAACTGTCCATATTTGCCTTATATACGGTATTGGGTAATTAAATGCCAATTGCACTGTTTAGGAATGGCTTGCTAAAACATTGAAAAAATGAAAGACTTCATCCTTGTCATAGACTGCCACTTCAGTGGAACATTCGGTGCACATAACTGGGTAATAGATTTCTTCCACATCTGTCTCTGCCTTCTCGGCAGCATCTTCCTGGTTAGACCTCATCTTCTTATGGCCCCGCCTTTTCTTCCTGTTCTCTGAGGCTTTATATCTTAGAACCTCCTCTTTGTTAATAGAACAGTTCATCACGAACATCGCTCTATATTGAGTTTTGTACGATTCATGCCTAAGAGAAAAATAAAATGGAGAATTGGGGTGTATGCTCTATTTTAATAGTTTATCCATTTAGATAAAATTTGAGAACACAATAAACTTACTGAAATACCAACCAAAGTAAAGACATAGGAACAAAACAGCAAGTTTAAAGAAACTTTAAACAGTTGTTTTAAGAATAATTAAAATAGGCTGGGCACAGTGGCTCCTGCCTGTAATCCCAGCACTTTGGGAGGCCAAGGTGGGCTGATCACGAGGTCAGGAGATGGAGACCATCCTGGCCAACATGTGAAACCCTGTCCCTTAAAAAAAAATAATTAATTAATTAAAACTTGTGGACAAGGTGGCTTACGCCTGTAATCCCAGCACTTTGGGAGGCCGAGGCAGGCAGATCACCTGAGGTACGGAGTTCGAGACCAGCCTGACCAACATGGAGAAATCCCGTTTCTATTAAAAATACAAAAAATTAGCCAGGTGTGGTAGCGCATGCCTGTAATCCCAGCTACTCAGGAGGCTGAGGCAGGAGAATCGCTTGAACCTGGGAGGTGGAGGTTGCAGTGAGCTTAGACTGTACCATTGCACTCTAGGCTGGGCAACAAGAGCAAAACTCCATCTCAAAAAAAAAAAACTTGTGAACACAGCTCACTACAGACTTGAACTCTTAGTCTCAAGTGATCCTCCTGCCTCAGCCTCCCTAGTAGCTGGGATTACAGGCACAAGCCACTGCACCTGGCAGAAGAAACTTTTTAGTATATAATAGTATAAAGAAGAAATGTATCCTCTTGTCTACTGCTTTTTGAAAGTAACTTTTATCTCAGGGAAAAAAAAAATCATTTACTCTTCAAACTCAGACAAAAGTTGTTGGAAACTTGCCAGGTAATGTGCAGTAATCTTTGACTACTGTCTTTTCACAACGTGGCCTGAGACTTTGCCCTCTTCTCATTACAGATGGTGCCACTGTGGTCAACATTTTAGGAAAAGCTACATGTTTAATAGCTTAAGGAGCTTCTCACTTTACAATGTCTACTCTCAGCTATTATATATTTAATTAGTCTAGTGTCCGGGTCCCCAAAGCCCAGGCTGCAGACCGGTACCAGTCTGCGGCCTATTAGGAACTAGTCAGCACAGCAGGAAGTGAGCAGCAGGCAAGCGAGCATTACTGCCTAAGTTCTGCCTCCTGTTAGATCAGCAGCAGCATTAGATTCTCCTAACAGTATGAACCCTATGGTGAACTGCGCATGTGAGGGATCTGGGTTGCGTGCTCCTTATGAGAATCTAACTAATGCTTGATAATCCAAGGTGGAACAGTTTCATCCCAAAACCATCCCCCTATGTTGTTCACCTCATATATGTAATTTTCCTACTAATTTTCCCACTTAGTAAGTTGTTCTTCTTTTTTTCCCATTAGACCTCAAGCGACAAAAATACCTATCTAGCTAAAAACAGTGAACTCACACTGTGCCCTCATTAGTTCCAAATATTAATCTTTACCTTCACTATCACCATAACCACCTGGAATTAAGAATGTGTAAGTGGGCACTTCTCCAGGTAAAAATATAATCTAACCTTTCAAAATATCCTGAAACAAAAACAGTTCTAGTTTCCTGTGTATGTACTTGCATGACTATATCTGTCTCAGCTCTATAAGAATCCCTTATCATATGTTAATGTATATTTTTCCCTTTCTCTGTATCTCTTGTGCATCAGAACAAATCATTTTTCTAAACTTTTTTTCCTTTTCTTCCCACCTCAGCCTCCAAAGTAGCTGGGACTATAGCCATAGGCCAACACGCCCAACTAAGTATTTTCTGGTTTCATAGAGACAGAGTCTCACTATGTTGCAGGCTGGTCTCGAACTCCTGGCCTCAAGCCATCCCCCCGAAGTACTGGGATTACAGGTATAAGCCACTGTGCCCATGATTTTTTAAAAAATTATTTCAATCTCTTTGTTTCTGAACTGCCTGGGCTATCTTGGAGATCACTGAGTTTTCTTAAAACTGCTATTTTTAATTCTTGGTCAGAGAGCTCACATATCACAGTGTTGTTGAGTTCAGTCACTGATTCCTTGTTTTATCCCTTTGAAGAGGTCATGGTTCCATTTGCTACTGTGTCTTGTGGAGGTACATCTATGTCTTTGTATTGAAGGATTAGTTATTTATTCCAGTCTTCTCTGCGTGGCTTGTTTCGGTTATTAGATATGTTTACCTAGAGATTCTTTGCAATCTGCAGGTTGATATTCTCTTTTTTCCACTAGGTCACTGCTTCCTTTTTGGCACTAGATGGCACTTGAAGCCCTGGTTTGCCTCAGTTCAAGTAAACACTGAGAGTGCTGCCTGTCTCAAATGGGGGAGGTCCCAAAGAGGATAAGGATATCCCAGTAGGCTGGGAAGGCTGGCTAGGGGTTCACACCTCCACCCTGTGGAACAAACCTCCTATAGTGTGGTGCTGCTGAACAGACACTCTGTTGGCATTTCCTTTGGCAGAGTTAGAGTGGAGTTTCCAGGGTTGCAGATGTAGTCCTACCTACCCCTACCCTCTTTGTCTCTGGCCATCCTCAGTAATATTTTTCCCTTCAGGTACTCTCAGTTCTTCCTATGGGTTGAGGCAGGGACAGATCTCTCACCAGAGAACTCAAGAATGGAAAGAAGCTGTTTGTTCACTTCAATCTCAGTTTTTCTCATGTAAAGATCATGAGCTCAGAGGAATTTTTCTGCTCACTTGGTGCCAGGCAGCTTGTGGAGAAGAATGAGCAGATACAGAAGTCCAATTCTCTTACTGTCTGCTTTAAATTTTTTTCACTTCTTTGTGGCCCTAGAAACTGTCTCCTTATATTTAAGATCTGGGATACTGGTGGTGATAGCTTCAGTGCTATATAGTTGGTTTTGGTTTTCTGCAGGGGGAAGGAAAGCCAGTTTGCTTCCATGCTGCTATTTTGCACTAGAAAAGATACTCTTTTTTTTGAGAGATGGGGATCTCACCTTTGTTTAGTTGCCCAGGCTGCAGTGATGGTCCAGCCCACTGCAACCGTGAACTCCTGGGCTCAAGCCATCCTCTCACCTCAGCCTATTAAGTAGCTGGGTCTACAGTCTTCATCACTATACTCTGCTAATTTTTGGTTTTTTATTTTTTGTAAAGACCAGGTATCACTGTGTTGCCTAGGCTGGCCTCAAACTCCTGGGCTCAAGGGATCGCCTTAGCCTCCCATAGTACTGGGATGAAAGGCATGAGTCACTGTGCCCAGCTTAAAAAGTATAAAAGCTACTTTTTTTTGTCTAAAACAGGGTCTCACTCTGTCACCAGGGTGGAGTGCAGTGGTGCGATCTAGGCTCACTGCAACCTCTATCTCCCAGGTGCAAGTGATTCTCCTGCCTCAGCCTCCTGAGCAGCAGAGGCACGTGTCATCACGCCCAGCTAATTTTTTGTGTTTTTAGTAGAGACAGGGTTTCACCATGTTGGCCAGGATGGTCTCGATTTCTTGACCTCATGATCCACCTACCTCAGCCTCCCAAAGTGCTGGGGTTACAGGCGTGAGCCACTTGCACCCAGCATAAAAGCTACTCTTTTTTTTTTTTTTTTCTTTTTCTTTTTAAAGACAGGGTTTCACTATGTTGGTCAGGCTGGTCTTGAACTCCCAACCTCAGGTGATCTGCCTGCCTTGGCCTCCAAAGTGCTTGGATTACAGGCGTGAGCCACCACACCTGACCTTTTTTTTTTTTTTTTTTTTTTTTTAATAGAGACGGGGTTTCACCTTGTTGGTCAGGGTGTTTTCGAACTCCTGACCGCAGGTGATCCACCCACCTCGGCCTCCCAAAGTGCTGGGATTACAGGTGTAAGCCACCATGCCTGGCCAAAGCTACTCTTAATAGAATTATATATAACCAAAATTCATTGTATAAAGATTAGTCACATAGTACCAAGAATATAAATACAGAACCTTATCAGAATTCCTGAGTACCACAAAAGTCTATTTCTGGGCTGGGCGCGGTAGCTCACACCCATAATCCTAGCACTCTGGGAGGCCAAGGTGGGCAGATCACTTGAGATCAGGAGTTCAAGACCAGCCTGGCCAACATGGTGAGACCCCTGTCTCTACCAAAAATTCAAAAACTAACTAGGTGTTGTGGCAGCTGCCTATAATTCCAGCTACTTGGGAGGCTGAGGCAGGAGACTCACCTGAACCCACAAGGCAGAGGTTGCAGTGAGGTAAGATTACACCACTGCACTCCAACTTGGGCAACATCTCCAAAAAACAGGTCTGTTTCTGATTTAAACAAAGTGTGTGTGTGTGTCTTTCATCCATTACCTTTGGCAATCAAGGCACAGTGTGGTCATGCAGGCAGGACAATTCAAGACAGCGTCACTATTTGGAACAGGCTGTTGTTGATGTGACCTCTGTCGTCCCAAACCATGGTAACTAGAACAGAAGAAGAAAGTGAAAGAAACATATATTAAAACCAGATCTTGGTTTCTAGTGTCATTTTCCAATAAAAAGAACGAGTCCTCTTCAGAGAAATGGCTAATTCTAGGAATCAGGAATGCAAAATGAACCTGGAGCATCTTTTAGTGCCAGAAAGGAAGGACGTATTCAAGAAAACAAAAACCAAACAATGAGGTGGTTATGACAAAGGGAAACAGGAGCCAACTAAGAGTCACCAACTGCCAAAGCTGAAACAAACTGAGCAACAAAATAAAGTAGGATTGGATTACAACCCAAAGTATAAAATAAATACCCAAGAGTCCATGCTAGCATAAATGTATTGAATAAATAAATCAATGGGGGAGAACAAATAAATCCCCACACAGAATTCTAAATGATCTATAAAGATGCTCTTCTCTCACAGTGGTGGAGTGTAACTCCCTAGTCCTTAAGTCTGGGTTGGACACAGTGACTTCCTTCCAAAGAGCACAGTATATGGTAGCGGGGTAAAAGACTAACTTCACAGAAGAGAAAGCTAACACTGGTTAGCAAGGTGATCAAGGCCAACATCAACACACAAAACTCATGCTGGTAGTATGTACTCTTAAAATAATGTGATGAAAATGGCTCTGTACTTCTGTGTTCTTCCTCATAAAAATCCATAATCTCATCCTAATTATGAGAAAAAACATCAGACAAATTCCCACAGAGGAGCCTCCTACATACACCTGACTAGTGCTCCTCAAAGTACATAAAGGCACTGAAAACAAGGGAAGTCTAAGAAACAGACGTAGTCAAGAAAAGCCTGTGGAGACATAACTAAACGTAATGTAGTATTCTACATGGGATCCGCAAACAGAAAACGAACATTACATAAAAACTAAGGAATTTTTTTTAAATTATGGACTTTGATTAACAATAATGTATCAATATTAGTCCATTGTGACAAATGTACCAAAAATAAAAGTTCATGAACTTTTTAAAAACAGTACAGCTACATTTAAAAAAGAAGCATACAGCCAGACATGGTGGCACACATCTGTAATCCCAGGCCAAGGTAAGCAGATCACTTGAGCCTAGGAGTTTGAGACCAGCCTAGGCAACATGGTGAAATCCTGTCTCTATAAAAAAAATTTTTTTAAATAAAATAAAAATAAAAATAAACAATCACACACCGGGCATGGTGGCTCACGCTTATAATCCCAGACCTTAAGGAGGCCAAGGCAGGATGGGATTGCTTGAGCCCAAGAATTTAAGACCAGCCTGGGCAACATAGCAAGACCTCGTGTCTATTAAAAATTAAATTAGAGGCCAGACACAGTGGCTCACCCCTGTAATCCCAACACTTTGGGAGGCCGAGGCGGGTGGATAACCTGAGGTCAGGAGTTTGAGACTAGCCTGACCAAAATAGTGAAACCCCGTCTCTACTAAAAACACAGGCCCAGCCGCATCTCAATTTTTAAAGATTGAATTTGTAAGTAGTTTAAATAAAAAAAATCATTTGAGTGCTAAATCCACAAAAACTTTTTTTGAGATAGGGTTTCACTCTGCCACTCAGGCTGGAGTACAGTGGCGTGATCTCGGCTCACTACAACTTCCACCTCCCAGATTAAAGCGATTCTCCCACCTCAGCCTCCTGAGCAGCTGGAATTACAGGTGTGCGCCACCACAGCCCCACTAATTTTTGTATTTTTAGTAGAGAGGGGGTTTTCACCATATTCATGAGGCTGGTCTCAAACTCCCAACCTCAGGTAAGTCGTCTGCCTCAGCCTCCCAAAGTGCTGGGATTACAGGCATAAATCACTGACACAGCTCATGCACATAACTCTTAATCTCAAAATAATTTAAAAACTACATCTGAGGCCAGGTGCAGTGGCTCACTCTTATAATCCCAGCACTTTGGAAGGCCGAGGCGGGCAGATCATGAGGTCAGGAGTTCAAGATCAGCCTGGCCAGTATGATGAAATGCTGTCTCTACTAAAAATACAAAAATGAGCTGGGCATGGTGGTGTGTGCCTGTAGTCCCAGCTACTTAGAAGGCTGAGGCAGAAGAATCTATTGAACCCAGGAGGTGGAGGTTGCAGTGAGCAGAAATTGCACTACTGCCCTCCAGCCTGGGCAACAGAGCAAGACTCTGTCTCACAAAAAATAAAAAATAAAAAAAAAACTGCATCTGAAAAAAAAATCAAGTTTTTCTTGAATGGAGAGACTGACTTAGCCTGAATCTAACAAGTTTTAAAAAAACCAACTGTCTGACTAAAATTTGTCGGTTATTTTCAAAATAAACTATTCAGCAGTTTTTTCCTCAAACTTTTTTGTTTGTGTGTGTTTGTGTAAACACATAAACATACATTCAATATATGAATGCAGTGGAAATCATCTTTCAATCATTTTTTTCTAAAGATTCTGAATATGAATTTAAGTTCTTACCCCCTTCTCTGTGCATCAACCCAGGCCTGATCTCTGTTATCTTTTTCAGGATCATATAGTAATTCATCATTTGTTGGAATCTTGTGTTGTTTCTTCTTTTTTTTCTTGGTCACCTGTACTAATTTTGAAAATGTTAGGATATGGCTAAGAATCACATCTCAAGTTCATACTTCTTTAAGAGTCTCATTTCCCAAGCTATACATTTATTTTCCTTAAAAAGTTAAAAAAGGCGTGGTGGCTCATGCCTGTAATCCCAGCACTTTGGGAGGCCAAGGCAGGTGGATCACAAGGTCAAGAGATTGAGACCATCCTGGTCAACATGGTGAAACCCTGTCTCTACTAAAAATACAAAAAATTAGCTGGGCATGGTGGCGTGTGCCTGTAATCCCAGCTACTCAGGAGGCTGAGGCAGGAGAATTGCCTGAACCCAGGAGGCGGAGGTTGCGGTGAGCCAAGATCGTGCCATTGCACTCCAGGCTGGGTAACAAGAGCAAAACTCTGTCTCAAAAAAAAGTTTAAAAAGGTGCTTAATAATGGGGAAGATTAAAAAAAGGAAAAAAGTTAAAAAAAGGGACGGACACAGTGGCTCACATGCCTATAATCCTAGAAGTTTCAGAGGCCGAGGTGGGTGGATCACCTGAGGTCAGGAGTTTGAGACCAGCCTGGCCAATATGGCAAAACTCCATCTCTACTAAAAATACAAAATTAAGGCCAGATGCATTGGCTCACACCTGTAATCCAGCACTTTGGGAGGCCCAGGTGAGCAGATGACCTGAGGTCAGAAGTTCAAGATCAGCCTGGCCAACATGGTGAAACCCTGTCTTTATTATAAAAATTAGCTGGGCATGGTAGTGGGCATCTGTAATCCCAGCTACTTGGGAGGCTGAGGCAGGGGAATCACTTGAACCCAGGAGGTAGAGGTTGCAGTGAGCCAAGATCGTGCCACTGCACTCCAGCCTGGGCAAGAAGAGCGAGACTATGTCTAAAAGAAAAAAAAATACAAAATTAGCCAGATGTGGTGGTAGGTGCCTAATCCCAGCTATTTGGGAGGCAGAGGCAGGAGAATCTCTTGAACCTGGATGGGGTCGGGGGCAGCAATGGTTGCAGTGAGCTGAGATGGCGCCATTTCACTCTAGCCTCTGTGAAAGAGTAAAAACTCTGTCTCAAAAAAAAAAGTTAAAAAAAACCCTTCATCCAAACAAGCGTTTGTCCAGGTGAGGTGCAGTAGCTCACCCTGTAATCCTAGAGCTTTGAGAGGCTGAGACAAGAGGCTCACTTGAGAGCAGGAGTTGAAGACCAGCCTGGCCAACTAATGAGACCCCATCTCTACACAAATAAAAATTAAAAATTAGCCAGACACACCTGTAGTCCTAGCTAATAGGGAAGCTGAGCTAGGAGGACGAGGATGCAGTGAGCTATAGCAGTCTGAGGAGTCTGAGGATGCAGTGAGCTATAATTGCACCATTGCATTGCTGGAGTCTGGGTGATAGAGACCTATCTCTAAAGAAGTAAAAAGTTGACAAAAATTTTAAAAATAAAGTTCTTCTCCAACTAATAAGACATTAAAATGAAAATGACAGAGGAGGCAAAAATTGTTTCTTTACCAAAAGCTGGTATCTCAAGGACTAAGTTCAAACAATGAGAATTCAGAGTCTCAAAAGAGCCACTCAAAGCAAGCCAAGAATAGAAACTGGCCGGACGTGGTGGCTCACACTTGTAATCCCAGCACTCTGGGAGGCTGAGGCGGGCATATCACCTGAGGTCAGGAGTTCAAGACCAGTCTGACCAACATGGTGAAACCCCGTCTTTAAAAAAAAAATTAAGAAAAACAAGAATAGAAACTATTTTTGATGGATGAATTCTCCACATATTCTTTTTTTTTTTTGAGACGGAGTTTCGCTGTTGTTACCCAGACTGGAGTGCAATGGCATGATCTCGGCTCACCGCAACCTCCGCCTTCTGGGTTCAAGCAATTCTCCTGCCTCAGCCTCCCAAGTAGCTGGAACTACAGGCGCGCACCAGCATGCCCAGCTAGTTTTTGTATTTTTAGTAGAGACAGGGTTTCACCTTGTTGACCAGGATGGTCTCGATCTCTTGACCTCGTGATCCACCCACCTCGGCCTCCCAAAGTGCTGGGATTATAGGCGTGAGCCACCGCGCCCAGCCCTCCACATATTTTTATATATAAAATGCTACTGAAATTAGAACAAAAATATTCCAAAAGTGAATTGAAAAAACAATCTATGTGGTCAGGCACAGTGGCTCACATCTGTAATTCCAGCACTTTGGGAGGCAGAGGCAGGAGGATTGCTTGAAGCCAGGAATTTGAGACCAGCCTTATGTAACCAAAGCAAGACCCTGTCTCAAAAAGAAAAAAAGCTAAAACAAAAAGAAAAGAAAGGAAGAGAGGAAAAAAGAAAGAAAATAGAAAAAAAACCTATGGCATCTACATACACTAGACTTTTTTGTTGTTTTTTTGAGACCAAGTTTCACTCTGTTTCCCAGGCTGGAGGGTAGTGAGGCAATCTTGGCTCACTGCAACCTCCACCTCCCAGGTTCAAGTGGTTCTCTGCTACAGCCTCCCAAGTAGCAGGCACCTGCCACCATACCTGTTTTTGTATTTTTAGTAGAGATCGGGTTTCAACATCTCAGCCAGCCTGGTCTTGAACTCTTGACCTTGTGATCCACCCACCTCAGACTCCCAAAGTACTGGGATTATAGGTGTGAGCCACCTCGCCTGGACCTACACTAGACTTTTTTTTTTTTTGACATGGAGTTTCGCTCTTGTTGCCCAAGCTTGGGTGCAATGGCTTGATCTCAGCTCACTGTAACCTCTGCCTCCCAGGTTCAAGTGATTCTCCTGCCTCAGCCTCCCAAGTAGCTGAGATTACAGGTGCATACCACGATGCCCAGCTAATTTTTTTATTTTTAGTAGAATCGGGGTTTCATTATGTTAGCAAAGCTGGTTTTGAACTCCTGACCTCAGATAATCCGCCTGCCTCAGCCTCCCAAAGTGTTGGGATTACAGGCATGAGCCACCACATTCGACCTAGACTCTTTTTTTTTTTTGAGACAGAGTTTCACCCTTGTTACCCAGGCTGGAGAGCAATGGCGTGATCTCTGCTCACTGCAACCTTTGCCTCCTGGGTTCAGGCAATTCTCCTGCCTCAGCCTCCTGAGTAGCTGGGATTATAGGCACGCGCCACCATGCCCAGCTAATTTTTTGTATTTTTAGTAGAGACGGGGTTTCACCATGTTGATGATGGTCTCGATCTCTTGACCTCGTGATCCACCCACCTCAGCCTCCCAAAGTGCTGGGATTACAGGCGTGAGCCACCGCGACCAGCTAGACTTTTTAAATGTATTCTAGCAGGCCTGGAGTGGTGGCTCATACCTGTAATCCCAGAACTTTGATAGGCCAAAGTGGGCAGACATCCTGAGGTCAAGAGTTCGAAAGCAGCCTGGTCAACATGCAAAACCCCATCTCTACTAAAAATAGAAAAAGTAGCCGGGCATGGTGGCATGCACCTGTAGTCATAGGTACTTGGGAGGCTGAAGCACCAGAATTGCTTGAACCCAGAAGGCAGAGGCTATAGTGAGCCAAGATTTTGTCACTCCTCTCCAGTCCAGATGACAGAGTGAGACTCTGCCTAAAAATATACATAAATAGGCCAGGCGTGGTGGCTCACGCCTATAATCCCAGCACTTTGGGAGGCCAGGGTGGGTGGATCACGAGGTCAAGAGATCAGGACCATCCTGGTCAACAAGGTGAAACCCCATCTCTACTAAAAATACAAAAATTAGCTGGGCATGGTGGTGCGCGCCTGTAGTCCCAGCTACTCGGGAGGTTGAGGCAGAAGAATTGCTTGAACCCAGAAGGCAGAGGTTGCGGTGAGCCGAGATTGTGCCATTGCACTCCAGTCTGGGTAACAACAGTGAAACTCCGTCTCAAAAAAAAAAAAAAAAAAAGAAAAAAAAAAATATATATATATATAAAGACATATATTTTAGCAAGTCAATATTTAAGTAATAATGCATAAAAGTATAATATTATTCTTTACCACAGAAATTTGTTATTTGAATATCTCAGTGTAATTACTCATATAATTAGTTTTAGCTCTTATCATGTTCAACTTTGCTCAAATTTTATAAAAATTCAATTTCGAAGCACATAGAGGCTGACTGAAAGCAACACTTTATGAAAAATTCTGCAGGAGGAGGCCAGGCGCAGTGGGTCACACCTGTAATCCCGACACTTTGGGAGGTTGAGGCAGGCGGATCACCTGAGATTGGGAGTTCGAGACCAGCCTGGCTAACAAGGTGAAACCCAGTTTCTACTAAAAATATAAAAAATTAGCTGGGCATGGTGGCACATACCTATAATCCCAGCTACTCAGGAGGCTGAGGCAGGAGAATCGCTTGAACCCAGATGGCAAAGGTTGTAGTGAGCCGAGATTGTACCAATGCACTCCAGCCTGGTCAACAAGGGGGAAACTCCATCTCAAAAGAAAAATACTGCAGGAGGATTAAACATAGAAAGTACTTGCAGTCATGAAAACAAATATTGCTGCTATAGAGAACCTAAAGGGGGAGGCGACAAGAGCCCTGAGGAGGGGAGGTATTAAGTTTGGAAACACTCTCATTCCCTAGGAACACCCAAGCAGCACCACTGTTGGTGCCATGTTCTCACATGCCTGCATCCCCAGCTTTTCTCATTAACCACTCCTGCTTTTGTTTTCACATCAATGGCATACAATTTCTTTTTTTCTTTTTTTGAGACAGAGTCTCACTCTGTCTCCCAGGCTGCTGGAGTGCAGTGTGGGAAATCTTGGCTCACTGCAACCTCTGCCTCCCAGGTAAAGCGATTCTCCTGCCCCAGACTCCCAAGTAGCTGGGACTACAGGCATGCACTACCACACCTGGCTAATTATTTGTATTTTCAGTAGAGACAGAGTTTCACCAAGTTGGCTAGGCTGGTTTTGGAACTCCTAACCTCAGGTAATCCACCCACCTCGGCCTCCCAAAGTGCTGGGATTAAAGTCATGAGCCACCATGCCTGGCTGCAATTTCTTAAAAGACCAAACTAGGAGGGAAATCCTAACATTCAATAATTGTTAGGTAAACCCTTTTAATAAAATGTAACTGCTAAACCTGGTAAATAGGTTACTCACCTGCTTTGTCTTCATCCTCAGAATCAGAATCAAAATATATATCATCATAGTATCTTGCTGGAGCTGTTGCAACTTTTCCATTTCCTGAGGAAGATCCTAATCAAAGTAGACGTAAAGTTTGCAGACTAAACCATACATAATTTACAAAACAAAAAACTCCATATATACTTCCATCACCTCAAAGCAATATCAACTCATTCATAGTATCATTTGATGGTGAAATATTTTCACATCAATGACTTACTTGATGTCTATGTCCTATGCAGGCACAGAGAACTGGCCCTCCTTAAAATGTTCCAAATCTTGAGAAAATTCTTCTCTCTCCCTTTCCACAAATCTCATTAAATAACATAGCCATATTTTTAGGTTGCCAGCACACATATGTCTACCTTTCAGTCATGCAGCATACTATGCAGAACAAAGAACAAACATTTTGTTCTAAAAACACTAGGAGAAAAAAGATAAGAGCCGGGCACAGTGGCTCATGCCGGTAACCCCAGCACTTTGGGAGGCCAAGGCGGGTGAATCACAAGGTCAGGAGACCAAGACTATCCTGGCTAACATGGTGAAACCCCATCTCTACTAAAAATACAAAAAAATAACTGGGTGTGGTGGCATGCGCCTGTAGTCCCAGCTACTGGGGAGGCTGGGGCAAGAGAAACACTTGAACCCTGGAGGCGGAGGTTGCAGTGAGCCGAGATGGCGCCACTGCACTCCAGCCTGGGTAACAGAGTCAGACTCCGTCTCAAAAAAAAACAAAGGATAAGAACCCTACTAAGAACCCTATAGGAAGGCAGGAGAAATGAGTCAAGGACACAGTCTTCTCCTCACTTATAACCAGATGTCATCATATGCCCACATCCCTAATTCCTCTTAATTAGCATCTGATTTAGCTTTTCTTATATTATTATATGCTTTCGGTTCTTTCCAGCTAATTGATAGTGTATCAACTGAAAATCAGTGCTGCTGAAGAGTCCTACTTTCTTTTTGAGATGGAGTCTCACTCAGCTCACTGCAACCTCTGCACCGGTCCCCACCCCCGATTCAAGAGATTCTCTTGCCTCAGCCTACCAAGTAGCTGGGATTACAGGTGCCTACCATCGCACCTGGCTAATTTTTTGTATTTTTAGTAGAGGCAGGGTTTTACCATGTTGGTCAGCTGGTCTTGAACTCCTAACATCATGATCCACCCGCCTCGGCCTCCCAAAGTGCTAGGATTACAAGTGTGAGCCACTGCGCCAGGACAGAGTCCTACTTTCACAAACCAGTTTTCAGGTTAGGTACATTTTACATAAAGACCAAGTATCAAAATGAAATATGTTTCATTACTTACTAAATGACACAGGAATCTGTGGTGATACATGATTAAAACTGCCACATATTAGTGCCATCTAACCCTGAAAATACTTCTGTAAGTTTGTGTGTTTTTTTTTTTAATCCTAGAGTAAAAACTGAAAAATAAAATTAACCAAGTAAACAGTACTAACTAATCTCTTTCCAAGAGCACAAGACAGTTCTCTGTAGTCATCAAAGTAAACTCCAGGCCAGGCACAGTAGCTCACCCCTAATCCAAGAACTTTGGGAGGCCAAGGCAGGAAGATCACTTGAGCCAGGAGTTTAAGACCAGCCTGGACAACATAGTTGAGACCCTGTCTCTATTTTTTTTTTGAGACAGAGTCTCGCTCTGTCACACAGGCTGGAGTGCAGTGGTGCAATCTCAGCTCACTGCAACCTTCATCTACCGGGTTCAAGTGATTCTCCGGCCTCAGCCTCCCCAGTAGCTGGGACCACAGGTGCGTGCCACCAAGCCCAGCTAATTTTTTATATTTTTAGTAGAAACAGGGTTTCACCATGTTGGCCAGGCTGGTCTTGAACTCCTGACCTCAAGAGATCCACCTACCTCAACCTCTCAAAGTACTGGGATTACAGACATGAGCCACCATGCCTGGCCGCTATAATTTTTTTTTTTAATTAGCTGGGCACAGTGGTACATGCCTGTGACAGGAGGCTGAGGTGGGAGGATCATTTGAGCCCAGGAGTTTTAGGCTGCAGTGAGCTATGATCACACCACTGTATTCCAGTCTGGGTGGCAGAATGAATCTAAAATAATAAATCAGTAACTTTTTTTTTAATGAGAAAAAGAAGACTAGCTCAGACTGCTAAATACATTTACTCTTTCATTCAATAAATATTTACTGAACACCTACTAAAAGTACTGGAGACACAAGAGCACAAATAAGGTTCCCACCCTTATGGAGCTTACAAATATATATATATATATATATATAATTGAACCAAAAGTTTACCAGTTCCCAGAGAGGATAACTTGTCCTCCATTGTTTTCATGGTAGAATTTAATTCAGCTTCCATTTCCTTTTCAAATTCATCTTCACTAGATGATTCACTTTCTCCAGTAAGACATTCTCTGATGAGTTTTCGTTTTTGGTCAGGAGTTCCATGTAAAAGCACATCCACTTCATCTTCAGAGCTAGCATACATTTTAATCAAAAAGAAGATGAATATTTTATAATTAAAATAATTTAAAACTCCCAGTATCTTACTGTCCAACAACAATTTTAAGTTTTACATGGTTGCATTTGATGTATATTACATATTGCTATTCTCAGTAGGCTAGTTCTGCATATTTCTAATCTTTTTTTAATTTTTTTTTTTGGAGATGGAATCTCACTCTGTCACCCAGGTTAGAGTGCAGAGCCATGATCTCAGCGCACTGCAACCTCCACCTCCCCAGTTCAAGTGAGCCTCCCACCTCAGCTTCCCCAGGAGCTGGGACTACGGGCACATGCCACCATGCCCAGCATTTTTTTTTTTTCTTAATTTTGTAGAGATGGGGTTTCACCATGTTGCCCAGACTGTTTTTGTTCGTTTGTTTCGAGATAGAGTCTCACTCTTGTCACTGAGGCTATAGTGCAGTGGCATGATCTCGGCTCAATGCAACCTCCGCCTCCTGGTGATTCCCCTGTCTCAGCCTTCCAAGTAGCTGGGATTACAGGATTCAGATACTCCATTTCACAAAATAAACAGAAAGATTAGATAGATAGATAGATAGATAGATAGATAGACAGATATTCTGGTTGTGATACTGCACTATAGTTTTGTAGTATGTTAACACTGGAGGAAACTAGGGAAAGGATATACAGGATCTCTCTGTATTATTTCTCTTATTCTTTAAGATAGGGCTATCACTGTGTTGCCCAAGCTGGAGTACAGTGGTGCTATCTTGGCTCACTGAAACCTCCGCCTCCCGGGCTCACGGCACCCCAACTGCCTCAGCCTCCCAATTAGCTAGGACCACAGGTATGCACCACCATACTCAGTTAATTTCTTATGTTTTTGGTAGAGACAGGATTTTACCATATTGCTCAGGCTGGTCTTGAACTCTTGAGCTCAACTGAGTCTCCTGCCTCAGCCTCCCAAAGTGCTAGGTTTACATAGGTGTGAGCCACTGCACCAGGCCTGTATTATTTCTTATAACTGAATGTGAATCTACAAAAACCTCAAAATAAAATGTTTAACTTAAACGGAATCACAAAGCAAGAGTTATTTTTTCTGCCAATTTTCTTCAATCCTTGTGATTATTTCAAGCGAAGTCTCAGTTTTCAGCACTGCTGGGAAAGGCAGTAATGCATCATGGATCTTGGATATACAAGTTAAGTATGCCAAGAATGCAAGGTTCTGACCACTGTTCACTTGAGCCATTTCTCAGGATTGTGTTTGCAGCAAACAACCTTGAGAAATGAGATAATGTCTCCTTCCAGGACAAAGAGCAGGTATATTCATTGTCTGCTATGAAAGAGGTGGATTCTCCAAGCTGAAGTATTCTTTAGCCATAATGCCAAACCACTGAACGTGCAGCATTCTTCTAGGACCCTCAGCGTAATACCTGTAGGGCTGAGAAGCAAGAGCAAGCGACACAAGCATGATGCTCAAGCTGCTTGCTGTGCTATGTGTAGTAGTCTCATGTCTTCAGTCAGTTTCTGTGAAACAGTGACAAGCTACGATGTATTAGCTTATAAATAGTGTAAAATTAAATCCTGACAGACACCTAACACTAATCTCCCTTTTTAAAATAATAAGCATTTGTCTTAGAGCCTCCAGCAAGCAATAGTCAGATAACATTGTTTTGTTTTTATAATATTCATCTTTACAGTTACCTTACCAGTAGCAACTGTCTCAGGATTATAAAGCTTCCTTAAAGAAATGTTACAATATGCCAGACTCCGTGGCTCAAGCCTCTAATCCTAGCACATTGGGAAGTCAAGGCAGATAGATCACCTGAGGTGAGGAGTTCGAGACCATTCTGGCCAACATGTTGAAACCCAATCTCTACTAAAAATACAAAAAATAAGCTGGGTGTGGTAGCACGTGCCTGCAATCCCAGCTACCCAGAAGGCTGAGTCAAGAGAATCACTGGAACCCGGGAGGCAGAGGCTACAGTGAGCCAAGATCCCACCACTGCACTCCAGCCTGGGCAACAGAGTGATACTCAGTCTCTAAATAAATAAATAAATGAGACGTGTGTGTGTGTGTGTGTGTGTGTGTGTGTGTATCCTTTCACAGACAGGACCCATACCTGAGACTCTTTTTCACAGGGAATCCTGGTATACATCCTCACTCCTCACCAAAGAAATCTTAACAGCAGTCTGATTTCCTATGTATCCAATGTCTCCCACGACAATATGAGGAAACATTGTTCTTTTAATTTTTTTTTTTTTTTTTTTTTAAGAAGTAAGATCTCACTATGTTGCCCAGGCTGTTCCTTTACTACTAGGCTCAAGAGATTCTCCCACCTCAGCCTCCCAAAGTCCTGGGACTACAGGCATGGGACACCACACCTGGCCAAAGTTGTTAATGAAAGCATGGCTTCACAGAAAGCTTCTTTGAACAGAATGAATGTTTTAAGCTTTAAGACTAGGATCTGGCCAGGCACAGTGGCTCATTCCTACAATCCCAACACACTGGGAGGCTAAGGCAGGCAGATCACCTGAGGTCTAGAGTTCGACATCAGCCTGACCAACATGGAGAAACTCTGTCTTTACTAAAAATAAAAAATTAGGGGCCGGGCATGGTGGCTCACGCCTATAATCCCAGCACTTTGGGAGGCCGAGGCGGGTGGATCATGAGGTCAAGAGATCGAGACCATCCTGGTCAACATGGTGAAACCCCATCACTACTAGAAATACAAAAATTAGCCGGGCGCGGTGGCTCACTTCTGTAATCCCAGCACTTTGGGAGGCCGAGGCAGGTGGATCACGAGGTCGAGATCAGGACCATCCTGGTCAACGAGGTGAAGCCCCGTCTCTACTAAAAATACAAAAATTAGCTGGGCATGGTGGTGCGTGCCTGTAGTCCCAGCCACTGGGAAGGCTGAGGCAGGAGAATTGCTTGAACCCAGAAGGCGGAGGTTGCGGTAAGCCAAGATTGTGCCACTGCACTCCAGTCTGGGTAACAACAGCGAAACTCCGTCTCAAAAAATAAATAAATTAATAAATAAAATACAAAAATTAGCTGGGTATGGTGGTGCACGCCTGTAGTCCCAGCTACTCAGGAGGCTGAGGTAGGAGAATTGCTTGAACTTCGGAGGTGGAGGCTGCGGTGAGCCAAGATTGCGCCATTGCATTCCAGCCTGGGTAACAACAGCGAAACTCCATCTCAAAAAAAAAAATACAAAATTAGCTGGGCATGGTGGCACATGCCTGTAATACCAGCTACTCAGGAGGCTGAGGTAGGATCATCACTTGAACCCAGGAGGCAGATGTTTCGGTGAGCCCAGAACACACCACTGCACTCCAGCCTGGGCAACAAGAGTGAAACTTTGTCTCAAGAAAAAAATAGAATCTGCTGACAGCTTAAGAAATAACTAGGGCCAGGCGGTAGCTCAAGCCTATAATCCCAGTGCTTTGGGAGGCCAAGGTGGGCGGATCACGAGGTCAGGAGTTCAAGACCAGACTGACCAAAATGGAGACACCCCCATCTCTACTAAATACAGAAATTAGCCAGGTATGGTGGTGCACACCTGTAATCCTAGCTACTTAGGAGGCTGAGACAGGGAATCACTTGAACCCAGGAGGCGGAGGTTGCAGTGAGCTGAGATTGTGCTACTGCACTCCAGCTTGGGCAACAGAGCAGACTCCATTTCAAAAAAAGAGAAATAACTAGGCCAGGCACAGTGGTTCACACCTGTAATTCCAGCACTGTGGGAGGCCAAGGCAAGCAGATCAGGAGGTCTAGAGTTTAACACCCCCTGACCAACATGGTGAAAACCCATCTCTACTAAAAATACAAAAGTTAGCCAGGGGTGGTGGTGCATGCCTGTAATCCTAGCTACTCAGGAGGCTGAGGCAGGAGAATTGCTTGAACCCAGGAGGGGAAGGCTGTAGTGAGCCGTGATCTCGCCACTACACTCCAGCATGGGTGACAGAGTGAGACTTTCAAAAAAAAAGAAGAAGAAAGAAAAGAAATAACTAAATTGGTGTAGAAATCTCTTAGCAACATAGCTTCAAGTTTCCCTGTAGAATAAATCACACCCTTCTAGAAATCCCACGAACTTTCATCTGTGCCTGTCTCAGGTCAATATTTTCTACAATGCTCTTCAAGATACCTACTTTATCTTATTACCCTTATCATACTACTAAGGCTCTGGAAGACAAGGACCTTATGATTTACCTCTGTAGCTAGGAGCAAAATAAAGCAGTCCCCCATGTAGGAAAAAAAAAAGTCCTGTTCAATATTCCCTTATTTCTGTTTACGGCAGTTTAGTCAAGATGGGTACTTCACATTAATTCCTATGAGCCTCTCAATAAATTTACATGTGTTATACTATGTTATGTAGCTTGTACAACTATAGGTTATTATAGTTACATTTTACAGGTAAGTAACATAAGATAAGTGACCTGTCTTCAGTCACTCTGCTGCCAAGCAGTAGAGGCAGGTTTCAGTCTCATTGCTTTTGAAGATTTACACACGTCCGGAGATTCCGGTAACCTCTCTCTTTTACAGAAAAATCGGCCCCACCTCCCCGGTAGCTGCACGACCCCATCAGGAAAGCCCTTTGGCCTCGCACAAATGACAGTGATGTACGACAGGCTCCCGAGCCGCATCTGCATAGGCTTGGCAGGCGCAACGAGTGGAGGCGACCAAGCCAGGCCTCCGCCCGAAGCCTCGGGTGCCAGGATAAGGCAGGGCCCACCTGCTCAAAGCCGGCTCCTCGTCACTAGGCTCTTCAATCGCGTAGGGGTCGTAGTCATTCGGCAGCCGGCTCATGGTGGCCTGCAGCGTCCTACACCGTCCACTGCGATCTGCACCGTCTCTGTTTACTCTGCAAGTTCCGTCCCTAAAGCGTCCCGACGATACTTCCGCCTGCACTTCCGAGTCCCCCTTGCGCGCCTGCGCAGACGACGGAAGCGACGGGTCAGGTAAAAGGTGGGGGAGAGGTGGGGCTCATGCCTGTGATACCAACACTTTGGGAGACCAACGTAGGAAAATCACTTGAGGCCAGGAGTTCAAGACAACCCTAGGCAACAAAATGACACTCTATGTCTACAAAAGTTTAAAACATTAGCTGGGCAGGGAGGCTGACGCAGGAGAATTGCTTGAGCCCAGTAGTTCAAAGGTGCAGTGAGCTGTGATTGCCATTGTATACTCTTGCCTGGACAACAGAGTAAGACCTTTTAAAGAAAAAATGTTAACACGACCCCGCCCTCCCATCACCCTGTCTTGCCCTCCCCCGTAAAAATAAAATAATAATAAAAACGTTAACACAAATATCTAAAAACCACTGAAAAATTAGTGGATCACATAACCCGAATTCAATTTTAATTTCTGAATTGGATATTATACACAAAATTCCCACCTCATCACTGATGCTAATAATTTTTATCAAATTATCTATACCCCTTTAACTTTGAATTCTGAGGTGCTTATACACACATTTTTTCATGTCAAATTGTGTCTTACAAACTATTTACTATGGATGGGCAGTGCTAAAATAGTCACTTTTGAAGACTTTAAATTTATTATCAAATGTGGTTGTTTTTTGTTTTAATTTTTTGTAGAAACAAGTATCTCACTATGTTGCAAACTCCTGGACTCCAGTGATCCTCCTGCCTCGTTCTCCCAAGGTGTTGGAATTATAGGTGAGAGCCACTATGCCCAGCCACATGTGTTTCTTAATAGATAATTACTTAAGTAACTGTCCACGCTGTATACACTGTCCAGCCATCAACCACTAAGTAGCTGTATTGGTTGTCACATTACGGATCACAAGAAGACTGAGGTTGGCTGCGGTGGCTTACCCCTGTAATCCCAGCACTTTAGGGGGCCAGAGTGAGAAGACTGTACGAGCCCAGGAGTTCGAGGCCAGCCTGGACAACAAAGCAGGATCCTATCTCTCTTTATTTTTTACTTTTATAAATAAAAAAGAAGATGCTCGGGGAAAACGATGTCCTGTCAAGTTGCTTGGGGAGATCTTAGAGCTTCATGTTTAACCGGGGTCGGGGGCGGAGGGGAACCCCGTAATAGTTGTGTCCTGTGGGGAAGACGTCTGTTGGGCTGGCGAAAAGAGAAGGGGCTGAAACTTGCTTTTTGCCGAAAGGAAGGTGAGCTCAAACCCAAGCCCTGCCGGGCCCAGGCGCTAGGTTCCGGGGTGGGGGGTGGGGGGTGGGGGGTGGGGGGGTGGGGCCGCGAGCTCCCTCCCCTCTCTCTCTCTCTCTCTCTCTCTCTCTCCTCTCTCCCCCCCCTTCCTCCCCCCCCCCGCGTCTCAAAAACAAACAAACAAAACCAACAAAAACCAATTCGTCCATTCATCAACCGTTTATTGAGCGCATAGCCTGTGCGCAGACACTGTTCTTCAGGCATCTGGGAGCAAAAAGGCCTCGGTGCCCACATTCTAGTTCGAAAAGGTAGGGGTGAGTGGCGGGGGGAGAAAATCGACCCCGGGCTCAGCAGGTAAATTAGTAGCTTAGGTGCTAAGTGCTATGAAAAAGCAAACAAACAGAGGGAAAGTGAGATAAGGAGTTGCAGCAAGGGGCAGGTGGCTGTGTTTCACCTACGAGCCTGTAAAATGAAAATCAGTTATTTACTTCCAAGGTAAAATGGGGACACAGGCATTGGGTAAACATCCCCATTACAAAAAGGGAGAAGTCAGCCAAAAGAAAAGGGCAACAGGCCCCACACAGTCTGAAACCCAACAGGACAGTCATTAAATCTTAATGCTCCAAAAGAATCTCCTAGGGTGGTCGGAAGAGGCTGTAATGAGAAGGTACCCTACGAGCAAAGGACTTGAAGCAGGTAAAGGGAGTTGGTCACGGGCCATCCCCAGCACGCAAACATCAGCTACAGCAAACGCCCAGGTAGGACTGGGTTTGGCAAGCAGCAAGGAGGCCCTGTGTCGGAGCAAAATTAAAGAGTTGTATAAAATTTCAGTCACGGCCGGGCGTGGTGGCTCACGCCTGTAATTCCAGTACTTTGGGAGGCCGAGGCGGGCGGATCACCTGAGGTCGGGAGTTCAAGACCAGCCTGACCAACATGGAGAAACCCCATCTCTACTAAAAATATGAAATTAGCCAGGCAGGGTGGCGCATGCCTGTAATCCCAGCTACTCAGGAGGCTGAGGCAGGAGAATCGCTTGAACCTGGGAGGCGGAGGTTGCGGTGAGCCGAGGTCCTGCCATTGCACTCCAGTCTGGGTAACAACAGCGAAACTCTGCCTCAAAAAAAAATTCAGTCACAGAGATGACTGGGTGGGAGTAAGATCATGAGGGTCTGGTAGACACCATAGTTAAGGCTTTAAATCTGGGTTAAACTTCAGTGCGGATGGAATGCACATTCTGACTCAGTAGATGTTGCAAAGGTGGGGCCCTAAGAGTGTGAGTTCTTAACTGAGTCACTCCAAGGTAGGTGCCAGGTGATGCTGAAGCTGCTGGTCGAGGGCCACACTGCTACTAAGTAGCAAGGTACTAAGTACTGTGGGGGGGGCGGGAGGAGAAAAAAGAGGCCGGGCACGGTGGCTCACCCCTGTAACTCCAGCACCTCGGGAGACCGAGGCGGGCGGACCACGAGGTCAGATCTAGGGCACTCAGGCCAACATGGCGGAACCCCGTCGCTACTAAAAACACAAAAATTAGGACGGAGACGAAAACTACAGCGAAACCAGACACCGGTTGGTAGTTAGGCTGGGAAAAAAACGGACGACAGCCATCCCACAATCTCCGCCAACCACAGAGACAGTGACCCGCCAACCACAACGAAAACATAACACCACTTAGAGACCACCCCAAGACCGCAATTTCTGACATTGCATGACACGAAAACCAGGGGAAAGCGCGAACGCAGTCCCCCACTACCACAAATTATGCAGTCGAGTTTCCCACATTTGGGGAAATCGCAGGGGTCAGCACATCCGGAGTGCAATGGATAAGCCTCGCCCTGGGAAAACCACCTTCGTGATCATGGTATCTCCCCTGCCAGGTAAGTATGAGTTGCTGTCTCCGCGTCCACTCCCTCCCTCGCGCCCGTCACACTCTGCACACACGGTCACTTCCCTCCCGCGACCCCAGTCCCCTCACCCTTTCGGAACTCCCTCGCTCCATCCTCTCCGCTCAGGGAAGCCACCCCGAAACCACTCCAAAGTCGCGGCGCGGGACGTGGCTGTCCCAGGCCGAGCGGGACCGGCAGCCTCCGCGCGCGTGCTTATCTGCATATGCCACGCCCTCACGGCCGGGGGACATCCCCGGCGCTTCGTTCGCTCCCCGTCGCAGACGCGAGACCTACAGAGGGCGCGCTCCGGCGCTGCGTAGGCGCCGGTCGGCGCGCGGCCGCGGGTCTGGGACCGGGGAGACGCGAGAGAGGAGGGGCGGAGAGGGGGCGGAGGAGGGCGGGGGAGGGAGCTCGCGGCCCGTGAGACATCTACTCTGACGTTCTAGTTAAAATGAGGATTATTTTGTAGCTTGAAGTTGAAAGTTAGACTGAGTCATTTGTCGTCCTATCTTTGTCTAACCTTTTTACTGTCGGAAAATCAGTCCCTTGAGCTAGTCAGGCCTCGGGTGGTGCCTCCTTTGTTTACGTTATCCTCTCCCTCCCTCTCTCATCTTCTCAGGGATTGGCTTTCTGTGTGGCAAGCCACCGCACCTGGCCACCAGTACCCTTTTTAAATAAGCTCCTATTTTTGTTGTTGTTTAATGGTTGTGTAACCACTTTTATTCCGTGAAATTGAGATCTCTACAAAGGATATCATTTTATACCTGACTAGGGTTTATCCTTTTGGTGAGTCACTGGTTTTACATATTTAGAAAATGACAGCCAGGCGCGGTGGCCCACGCCTGTAATCCCAGCACTCTGGTAGGCCGAGGCGATTGGATCATGAAATGAGGAGTTCGAGACCAGCCTCGTCAACAGTGAAACCTCGTCTGTTGTATCTGACCGAGCATAGACAGTCAACACCAGGACAAAAGTATGCCAAATTGCAGGATTTATTGCCGGCGACCACGGAAGACTCAGTCTCTCCAACCCGTGGCAGAGAAAGAAGGGTGACAAGACCTTTTTATACCCGCAAAACCGCCTTGGGAGTGGGGGTGAGGAGTGGAGATGGGAATTAAAGTCTGTAAATCACCTCTTGGGCAGAGAGCAGGGTGAGGGGGCTCCGGACATTCCAAGGACCAGGGGACTTTTGTCATTCCGATTGCCACTTAAGAGGTTTACAGAAGTTAAGATAAACATTATACGTTATTTGGAGAGATGTGGGGTCCACATAATTTTAGGTTACTTAGCACCAGGCTGGAATTATCCGGGGGTGCTTACTCTGGTCAGTACTGGTAAACAGAGGCCAGCAATTCTGGCAGTTACAGATAAGAGAAGGTATGCAGCTTTACCTCTCTTTGCATTTTGCAAAGTAAACTTAGCAGTTTACAGAGGCCATGGCTAGCAGTCATTGTGAGGAGAATGGAAACAGTTTTGTCTCTTTATAAAATGGCAGTGTACAGGTTCTAACTCTAGGCTAGCTATATCACAGTCTCTACTAAAAATACAAAAATTAGGTGGGCGTGGTGGCCTAATCCCAGCTACTTGGGTGGCAGAGGCAGGGAACTGCTTGAACGCGGGAAGCAGATGTTGCAGTGAGCTGAGATCGCACCACTGCACTCCAGTCTGGGCGGCAGAGCAAGACTCCATCTCAAAAAACACATAAATACATACAAAGAAAAGGTGAAGCAAAGCCTGTAATTCTGTTACCGGAATGCCAGGGGTTCAGTTTAGGTACTGCCGCTTGCCACACAGAAAGCCAATCCCTGAGATGAGTATTGGCAAGAAAGCGTTAATTTCAGTGGCCGCGCTCTAAAGCTAAGGAGATGGCAGCTCAGTTTCAAATCCATCTCCCCATAGGAAAGAAATGCAACAATCTCTAAGAAAACAGGAACTGGGCAGGGGTGAGGAAGCAATCCTCATTAAAGAGGGGACCGCCTTTTATTTTCTGTCTGGGAAGATCTGGTGAATTTCAATTGTTTCACGCCCGTAATCTTAGCACTTACTCAGGCCCAGACAAGGAGGGGCGGGAGGGGGACGGAGGAGGGAAGGGGAGGAGGAGTCACGTGGTCAGGAGTTCGAGACCAGCCTGGCTAATATGATGAAATATCGTCTCTACTAAAGTACAAAATTTAGCTGGGCATGAGAGAGAGAGAGGAGAGGAGAGAGAGGATAACGTAAACAAAGGAGGCACCACCCGAGGCCTGACTAGCTCAAGGGACTGATTTTCCGACAGTAAAAAGGTTAGACAAAGATAGGACGACAAATGACTCAGTCTAACTTTCAACTTCAAGCTACAAAATAATCCTCATTTTAACTAGAACGTCAGAGTAGATGTCTCACGGGCCGCGAGCTCCCTCCCCCGCCCTCCTCCGCCCCCTCTCCGCCCCTCCTCTCTCGCGTCTCCCCGGTCCCAGACCCGCGGCCGCGCGCCGACCGGCGCCTACGCAGCGCCGGAGCGCGCCCTCTGTAGGTCTCGCGTCTGCGACGGGGAGCGAACGAAGCGCCGGGGATGTCCCCCGGCCGTGAGGGCGTGGCATATGCAGATAAGCACGCGCGCGGAGGCTGCCGGTCCCGCTCGGCCTGGGACAGCCACGTCCCGCGCCGCGACTTTGGAGTGGTTTCGGGGTGGCTTCCCTGAGCGGAGAGGATGGAGCGAGGGAGTTCCGAAAGGGTGAGGGGACTGGGGTCGCGGGAGGGAAGTGACCGTGTGTGCAGAGTGTGACGGGCGCGAGGGAGGGAGTGGACGCGGAGACAGCAACTCATACTTACCTGGCAGGGGAGATACCATGATCACGAAGGTGGTTTTCCCAGGGCGAGGCTTATCCATTGCACTCCGGATGTGCTGACCCCTGCGATTTCCCCAAATGTGGGAAACTCGACTGCATAATTTGTGGTAGTGGGGGACTGCGTTCGCGCTTTCCCCTGGTTTTCGTGTCACGCAATGTCAGAAATTGCGGTCTTGGGGTGGTCTCTAAGTGGTGTTATGTTTTCGTTGTGGTTGGCGGGTCACTGTCTCTGTGGTTGGCGGAGATTGTGGGATGGCTGTCGTCCGTTTTTTTCCCAGCCTAACTACCAACCGGTGTCTGGTTTCGCTGTAGTTTTCGTCTCCGTCCTAATTTTTGTGTTTTTAGTAGCGACGGGGTTCCGCCATGTTGGCCTGAGTGCCCTAGATCTGACCTCGTGGTCCGCCCGCCTCGGTCTCCCGAGGTGCTGGAGTTACAGGGGTGAGCCACCGTGCCCGGCCTCTTTTTTCTCCTCCCGCCCCCCCCACAGTACTTAGTACCTTGCTACTTAGTAGCAGTGTGGCCCTCGACCAGCAGCTTCAGCATCACCTGGCACCTACCTTGGAGTGACTCAGTTAAGAACTCACACTCTTAGGGCCCCACCTTTGCAACATCTACTGAGTCAGAATGTGCATTCCATCCGCACTGAAGTTTAACCCAGATTTAAAGCCTTAACTATGGTGTCTACCAGACCCTCATGATCTTACTCCCACCCAGTCATCTCTGTGACTGAATTTTTTTTTGAGGCAGAGTTTCGCTGTTGTTACCCAGACTGGAGTGCAATGGCAGGACCTCGGCTCACCGCAACCTCCGCCTCCCAGGTTCAAGCGATTCTCCTGCCTCAGCCTCCTGAGTAGCTGGGATTACAGGCATGCGCCACCCTGCCTGGCTAATTTCATATTTTTAGTAGAGATGGGGTTTCTCCATGTTGGTCAGGCTGGTCTTGAACTCCCGACCTCAGGTGATCCGCCCGCCTCGGCCTCCCAAAGTACTGGAATTACAGGCGTGAGCCACCACGCCCGGCCGTGACTGAAATTTTATACAACTCTTTAATTTTGCTCCGACACAGGGCCTCCTTGCTGCTTGCCAAACCCAGTCCTACCTGGGCGTTTGCTGTAGCTGATGTTTGCGTGCTGGGGATGGCCCGTGACCAACTCCCTTTACCTGCTTCAAGTCCTTTGCTCGTAGGGTACCTTCTCATTACAGCCTCTTCCGACCACCCTAGGAGATTCTTTTGGAGCATTAAGATTTAATGACTGTCCTGTTGGGTTTCAGACTGTGTGGGGCCTGTTGCCCTTTTCTTTTGGCTGACTTCTCCCTTTTTGTAATGGGGATGTTTACCCAATGCCTGTGTCCCCATTTTACCTTGGAAGTAAATAACTGATTTTCATTTTACAGGCTCGTAGGTGAAACACAGCCACCTGCCCCTTGCTGCAACTCCTTATCTCACTTTCCCTCTGTTTGTTTGCTTTTTCATAGCACTTAGCACCTAAGCTACTAATTTACCTGCTGAGCCCGGGGTCGATTTTCTCCCCCCGCCACTCACCCCTACCTTTTCGAACTAGAATGTGGGCACCGAGGCCTTTTTGCTCCCAGATGCCTGAAGAACAGTGTCTGCGCACAGGCTATGCGCTCAATAAACGGTTGATGAATGGACGAATTGGTTTTTGTTGGTTTTGTTTGTTTGTTTTTGAGACGCGGGGGGGGGGAGGAAGGGGGGGGAGAGAGGAGAGAGAGAGAGAGAGAGAGAGAGAGGGGAGGGAGCTCGCGGCCCCACCCCCCCACCCCCCACCCCCCACCCCCCACCCCGGAACCTAGCGCCTGGGCCCGGCAGGGCTTGGGTTTGAGCTCACCTTCCTTTCGGCAAAAAGCAAGTTTCAGCCCCTTCTCTTTTCGCCAGCCCAACAGACGTCTTCCCCACAGGACACAACTATTACGGGGTTCCCCTCCGCCCCCGACCCCGGTTAAACATGAAGCTCTAAGATCTCCCCAAGCAACTTGACAGGACATCGTTTTCCCCGAGCATCTTCCCGGGTAGGCGGGTCAGAAATGGCAGTAACACAGCCGGCTGCGAAACCTCGGAAAACCTAAAGGAGGGGGGGCCGGGTGGGGTGTGGGGGGGAATCAAGCGTCTTACTTTGAAGGAAAGAAAATCAGGACAAACTTTGTTCACTATGCCAATCGTGCACCGGTCGGGCTGAGTGTATAACGCTAGATAACAGTTTTTAACTTGGAAATATCTGTAAATACAGTTATGTTTTATAGTCAATTCACAGGATCTGAGTTATTTATTCTGCGTAATCTGTTCAACCTTCCTTTTGTGCTTAGATGGTGAGCTATACTCCATTTTTTTTCCTTTTCTCTTTTTTCTTTTTTTTGGAGGCGGAGTCT